TCCCCAAGTCATGAAGGAGCCATAGTTCCCCCATGCTGGCTGAGGAATTCTGGGAGTTGAAGTCCCCAAGTCATGAAGGGGCCATAGTTCCCCCATGCTGGCTGAGGAATTCTGGGAGTTGAAGTCCCCAAGTCATGAAGGGGCCATAGTTCCCCCATGCTGGCTGAGGAATTCTGGGAGTTGAAGTCCCCAAGTCATGAAGGAGCCATAGTTCCCCCATGCTGGCTGAGGAATTCTGGGAGTTGAAGTCCACAAGTCATGAAGGGGCCATAGTTCCCCCATGCTGGCTGAGGAATTCTGGGAGTTGAAGTCCACAAGTCATAAAAGAGCCAAGGTTGCCTACCCCTGGGCTAGGCATATGCAAACACTTGAGTTAAATCATTTGGTGGGAAAGTGTCCTTAAATTTTCCCACTAAAGTCCCAAGTCTAAGTCCTGTTAATTCTCTCTCTTTCCTGCTACCCTGTACAGATAGTCCTCGATTTACAACAGTTCAATTTAGTGACTGAAGTTACCACAGCACCGGAAAAAGGGACTTATGACTGTTTTTCACATTTACGATCATTGCCGTATCTCCAGGGCCATATGATCAAAATTCGCACACTTAGAAACATATTTATGACAGTTTGTAGTGTCCTGGGGTCATTTGATCTCCTTTTGCAACCTTCTGACAAGCAAAGTCGATGGGGAAAGCCAGATTCACTTAACAGCTTAACTGCGGTGATTCATTTAACGACGGTGATAACAAAGGTTGTAAAATGAGGGCAAATCTCACTTAACATCTGTCTCACTTAGCAAAAATAAACGTTGTGCTCAACCGTGGTCATCAGCCGAGGACTACTCTAACTTAAATGCGAGTTTTTCTCCATTGCTCACATTTAAAATCTCCTTGTCTTTTTATAAAAGGGAACTGATCGAATACGATGATCCTAAAATCCCGTTATTTACTACGGACTTGGATAAGCTGGAAGGAAAACTACCTCCTGCCCTCGCAAGAGGTAAATATTCGAATTAATCCAGCATGGGATCCTGTTCAGGGGCAGGGAGAGTTTTAGAACTGGTGCTGATCATTAATGTTTGATTTACTTACGCCAGCAGGCAAATACAAGGCTCTGAAGATGGAGTTCTCCCTCCCGCCATCCGCTTATGCCACAATGGCGATCCGAGAAGTGCTCAAATTGGACACCAGCATCAAAAGTCAATCACAGTTAAACACAACCTGGCCTCGCTAATGCTTTTCAGGGACTGGATGAGGTTTCAACATGCAGTCTGTTTCTCCTTGACTCATTTTATCTTACCCACATAATTTCTAATCGAGATGTATTTTTGTATTAGTTGGAAAGACGTTATTTCGGCTGGGCGGTCCAATTTTAATTTTGTTTTTTAAACAGTTTGAAACAAAATATGGTGCTCCCTACAGCAGAATTCAAACCACTGATTGGCTTCGTTAGCTCGGAAACGTTGCATTCTCTTATGGAAGGACACAGGTCTTCTTGAACACGATACAGATTAAAACTGCAAATATGTTTAATTCTGCAGTTCAGGAATATTAAACGTCATAACGTTACCATTGAATACATGCCTGTATCCAATGAACAGATTTTGTTTAGCCTTAAGAATGCTGATAGAGCCTGCTTTTACTGTTGGCCAAATGTTCACCTCTTTTCCAGCTGCTTTGATTTGATTTCTGGCATTATTAAATATCTGTTTTTTTTCATAAGATGCAAACTTGGAAAGACGCCAATAGCCAATAACAGAAGTAGTTATGTCAACAAACATTTTATGGTTTGTCTGTTGCTGGCAACAGATGAACTGGGAAATACCTGCACCCTGACTTAACAGGATTAAATACCCGTTCTGAATTTAGTGTGTCTGCATTTTATTTCTTCTTGTTGTTAGTTGCGAAGTCGTGTTCGACCCATCACGACCCCATGGACAACGTTCCTCCAGGCCTTCCTGTCCTCTACCATCATCTGGAGTCCATTGAAGCTCACGCCTCCTGCTTCAGTGACTCCATCCAGCCCCCTCCTTCTCTGTCGTCCCCTTCTTCTCTTGTCCTCCATCTTTCCCAGCATCAGGCTCTTCTCCAGGGAGTCCTTCCTTCTCATTAGGTGGCCAAAGTCCTTGAGTTTCAACTTCAGGATCTGGCCTTCTAAGGAGCAGTCAGGGTTGATCTCCTCCAGGACTGACCGGTTTGATCGCCTTGCAGTCCAGGGGACTCACAGGAGTCTTCTCCAGCACCAGAGTTCTTTGGCGCTCAGCCTTTCTTATGGTCCAACTTTCACATCCATACATTGCAACTGGGAAAACCATGGCCTTGACTATTTTATTTCTAAAACCTGCCAAAATACTTGCTTCCTTTTGGTATTTATTAATTTTTAATGGAAACCCGTTGCTGAGCTTTGTTCTTTGGGGATCACAGATACATAGGTTTCCTGTGGAAGGCTGAGATTTAGGCAAAATGCTTGATAAACTCACTTTCATCGAATACCTGACTACAGAGCAAAATCTGTTTTTTAAAAAAAATAAACCAGATAGATTTCCCTTTCCCAAACGTCTTCTCTAATCAACCGATGGGCAACTCTTGGGATGCGGGCAGCTTTTAAGGAGCCTTGTGTGTGTGAGTTATAGATTAGAAAGAATAAATGATAGGATGGTTGGACAGATGGATCCATATATTAGACAGAGTCATAGATTAGGTAGCTAGAACAGATGACAGAATGGATGGATCCATATATTAGAGTTATAGATTAGAAAGAATAGATGATAGGATGGACGGGTGGATCCATAGATTAGATAGAGTCATAGATAGCTAGAACAGATGACAGGATGGATGGATCCATATATTAGTGTTATACAGTAGATTAGAAAGAATAAATGATAGGATGGATGGATCCATATATTTGATAAGAGTCATAGATTAGATAGAACAGATAATAATAATAATAATAATAATAATAATAATAATAATAATAATAATAATAATAAAGTTGGAAGAGACCTTGGAGGTCATCTAGTCCAACCCCCTGCTCAGGCAGGAAACCCTATACCATTTCAGACAAATGGCTGTCCAGTCTCTTCTTAAAAACTTCCAGTGTTGGAGCATTCACAGCTTCTGGAGGCAGGTTGTTCCACTGGTTAATTGTTCTAACTGTCAGGAAGTTTCTCTTTAGTTCTAGGTTGCTTCTCTCCTTGGTTAGTTTCCATCCGTTGCTTCTTGTCCTGCCTTCAGGCGCTTTGGAGAATAGCTTGACTCCCTCTTCTTTGGGGCAGCCTCTGAGATACTGGAAGACTGCTATCATGTCCCCCCTCGTCCTTCTCTTCATTAAACTAGATATTCCCAATTCCAGCAACCATTCCTAGTATGTTTTAGCCTCCAGTCCCCTGATCCTCTTTGTTGCTCTTCTCTGTACTCTTTCTAGAGTCTCAACACCTTTTTTACATCGTGGTGACCAAAATGGATGCCGTATTTCAAGTGTGGCCTTACCAAGGCCTTGTAAAGTGGTATTAATACTTCACGATGGATTCGTAGATTAGATAGAATCGTAGACAGAATAGATGACAGGATGGATGGATGGGTGGGTAAGTAGGTAGGTAGGAGAGCCCCATAAAATTCACCCATCATGATTCTGGGGGAGTTTAATCAGAGGGGAAAAAATCCATTTCACTACTGAAAGGTTAAGACTGGTGAGAACCATTAGCTGGGCATGAGTTCAGGTGTCCCGTGGGCGAGGGAGGGCATTTTAGCTGCCCTGCCCTTCTCCTGTAATGGCACACGGGCTTCCTTAGATTTAGCACGATTTAAACCCGCGCTTTTCGAACTGGGCCGCTGTGGCCATGTGGACTTCAACTCCCAGAATCCTGCAGCCGGCTCAGGAATCCCGAGAGTTAAAATCCACACACCGAAAGTGGCCAAGTTTGGGGAAAAAAACAACATATGACAGGTTTAGACCCGGCTCCTAAAAGTCTCCATCCTTCCCCACCACACTACAACTCCCGACTCTCCACGGAAAGCTTCCCCAAGAAGCACATCCGGCCACAAACCGGAAGCTGGGGCGCTCCGCCCTGGCCTCTCGCGCGCCTCTGCCTCACCCTCCCCGAAGCGAAGGGTTTCGTCAAAAGGCCTGCGCCGTGTCGCCTCGTGACGTCAGGCGAGCGACGTTGCCACTTGAGTGCCGACGCGTCCGACGGAGGAGGGGGCGTGGCTTACGCCGACACGCGGGGGAGGAGGTGAGTGGCCGCGTTCGGGTTTGCGTTCACACGACCCTTCCCTTGCTTCCCGTTCCCTTCTCCCCGGGGAGAGGGCACCAGGCGAGTTCTGTGGACGTCTGGATGCCTCCGCCCGGCAGTTCGCTTCCAAGGGTGCTCAGCCCTCTCCTTAAGGGCTCCTTCGTGGGATTGCCAGGCCTGACCGTTATTTTGTATGTAATTATGCATTCAGCCGGTGACCTGCAACCTGAAATTATAAAAAGGGGAATAAAAGACAACAGTTACAATCAGGATGGACAGGGAGAAATGGGTGCAATTATGTATTGGCAAGTAAAAAAATAAATCAAATATGGTATATTCTGAACACCCCTATTAAGATAAGATAACCTTTATTGTCACTTTTTTCTGTGAACACACTGGCACACATTAAAAAAATGAAATTCTGATGCCCGCTCGTGTGTGTGTGTGTGTGTGCGTGTAGGCGTATACTGTATGTATTATATATATATATATATATATATATATATATATATATATATATATATATATATATATATATATATATATATATTACATACAGTATATATATATATGTATGCATATGTACATATATGTGTATATATATACACACATACATATACATATGTTCTCTACACACATTTATATACCATGTAGTATCAACCTTGTTAACTCTTAAGACTCTTTTCTGCTATGTATTCTAAATGGACTGATATATATATATGTGTGTGTGTGAGTGTAGGTGTGTATGTATTATATATATATATGTATGCACATTTACGTATAATGTGTGTGTATGTATATATATATACACACACACCTACATATACGTATACATATGCTCTCTACACACACACACATATATACACACACACACACATATTTATTCATACCTATATACACATATATATACATACATATACATACATACATATGTATATGTGTGTGTGTGTGTGTGTGTATATATATATATATCAGTCCATTTAGAATACATAGCAGAAAAAAGAGTCTTAAGAGTTAACAAGGTTGATGCTACATGGTATAAAGCTATTATATAATTTAGTCATTCTGCTTCGGATACTGCCTGCTCCTAGAAGGTAACAAAGAAATTACAATAATAGCTTGTTTAATTTGCCTAACCCTAATCTAATATAAAGCTATAATATAATTAAACTTACCTTCATTTGTAATAAAACTATACATTAAAATATATGTCCTCTAAAGATTATGAAATCACCCTTAATTCTGGTCTTGGGTTGTAAGAAACCCATCCTGGGTGGTTAATCGGAGTCAGTCTGCCAAACATATAGAAGAAGCTTTAATTCAGCAGGGCAGACCAAAGGAGCTGATTTTTTTCAAAACAGGCTGTTTTTAATTTAAATGGCACACTTGTGTTCCTGCAGAGATCATGGAGGCTATTGCCAATTTAATGTGTTTCAGTTACACCCAAGTTTAGATCTTCTGTTTGAAAAAGCTAGGTTGAATAATGCTGCTCTAGAACCTTTAGCAGCCGCCAGCAGAAGCCTAGATCTTGCATTTTTAGCTTAATAAATTGCCTGCGAAATATTCTGAATGTGTTAAGAGGTAACGGTGTGGCTTTCAATATTGCTACCGTAAGCACACATTAATACATAATTGCAGCGTTTCCTATTCTTGAGATTCAGTTGTCTCTGCATCCCATTGGTATATAGTCTTTCTAATTTATCCCAGATTGTGCTTGTGTTTGTCATTCATGTAGTTGAACCTGGAAGGTGTATAATTGCAGCCAAAAATAATAACCCCGCATGGTTATTTTCATACGTTGTAATGGGTTCCCTTAGACATATTTTTGCCTAAATAGAACCGTTTGGCAATAAATAACATCTGAGAGAGAACACTGATGTCTTAATATTTATGGACAATTATGGGGTGTTTTTTTTTCCCCTAGATGAAAGCAAAGACTTGTTAAGGAAGATGACTCTTTAAGACAAGTGGAAGAATTATGGACTGTTGGAAAGCCCAGGGGAAAATGAGAATGCATGAGAGGATAAAAGAAACAAGAACATTTGGATCAGAGACTTCAGTTGTTATGTGGCTAGCAGTTCTCCTTCATGGCTATTTTGGACAAGACACACAACACAAATTAAAACATTGGGAAAGCAACTGCAGGAGCCAGGCAATAATTCCAAGGAGCCATTGTATGTTCTGATGGTTATATTCCTTCGCGTCGCTTAATCCTATCCATTCCACGCTCGTCTTTACTGAGTGAAGCCAGCACTACACTCCTAACAGACTGAATAAGCAGAGATATAAACACAGACATTTGCTTCCAGGCTTGCTTTAAATCTTGCATCAGCTTTCAGATTATATCCAAAACCGTCTTTTTGTGCGTGACATTTAATATTCGACACTGCGGTAACATTGCTAAGCTTTTTTTTTTTTTAATTCATCCAAAACCTAAAACCAGTTGCTAAATTGGAAATGGCACAATCGGGGATTACAAGTGCTGCATCATTGGTGTCTACTGAGGCAAGTGATTTATTTTTTGTTCCTTCTAGTTTTTCTCTGTGTTAGCTGTTAGAAAGCAACTGGAAAACTCCACTTAAATTAATTCCATTCGCTGATACTTCTGAGAGTTGAATTTCGTGTTGTGTTTTTTGCGATGTTGGTGTTCAGGACATCTTGTTTTTAAGCCTGCCACGCATTGATTACCTTGAATGACAGGTGTTTAAAGAGACCGCCGATAAATAAGTCAGAGATGCTGGAGAATTAAAAAAAAAAAATAGTGCAGGTTGGATCCAGGGTGCTAACATAAAGAATTTTCACGTATTTACAGCGATTGGATCTTTTAAACATTGGACGGAAACAGTAGGATACCAAAAAGTGGGAAGGTCGTCTTTTTATGTTTACACTCATCATTTTCATCTGCTTTTCTTCGCTTTATGAAGGGCCGATTTCCACTTATCTCATAGAGTTCAGTCTTCACAATATTATTGAATATATTTGTATGCTTTTAATCTTGTTTTTATAGTAAAGCATACCGCTTTATTGTAGAATGGTTTAAAAGCTGGTTGCTTTACTTTGATGTGATAAGTAAAAGGCAGCTGAAAAACATACGGGCATAGAATTTTTTAAAAGATGGACAATTTTTCCCCCCAGTTACAACAGTTCGTTGTTTAACTGAAGACTGAAATGCAGGTCCTTGGCTTACAAACATTTGTTCAGTGACTGTTCAAGGTTATGGGGCACTGAAAAAAGTGACTTAGTATGGGTTTTCAAAACTGTCAAATAATGATGATGATGATGTTGGAAGGGACCTTAGAGGTCATCTAGTCCAACCCCCTGCTCAGGCAGGAAACCCTATACCATTTCGGACAAATGGCTGTCCAGTCTCTTCTTAAAAACCTCCAGTGTTGGAGCATTCACAGCTTCTGGAGGCAGGTTGTTCCACTGGTTAATTGTTCTCACTGTCAGGAAGTTTCTCCTTAATTCCAGGTTGCTTCTCTCCTTGATTAGTTTCCATCCGTTGCTTCTCGTCCTGCCTTCAGGCACTTTGGAGAATAGCTTGACTGCCTCTTCTTTGGGGCAGCCCCTGAGATACTGGAAGGCTGCTATCATGTCCCCCCTCGTCCTTCTCTTCATTAAACTAGACATACCCAATTCCAGCCACCGTTCCTTATATGCTTTAGCCTCCAGTCCCCTAATCATCTTTGTTGCTCTTCTCTGCACTCTTTCTAGAGACTCAACATCTTTTTTACATGGTGGTGACCAAAATTGGATGCCGTATTCCAAGTGTGACCTTACCAAGGCCTTGTAAAGTGGTATTAATACTTCACGTGATCTTGATTCTCTCCCTCTGTTAATGCAGCCTAGGATTGCGTTGGTTTTTTTGACAGCTGCAGCACACGGCTGGCTCCTGTTTAAGGGATTGTCCACTAGGACTCCGAGATTCCTCTCGCAGTCATGCAATTGACTTGTTCCTACCGAAACATTTCCGTGGTAAGAGAATCAGACGCTGATGTCATTGTTTCCCCTGGGATGCCCAGTTAGGGACTCCTTTTATGTCCCTGTTAAGCTGCCTGTCAGAGTTATATGTTTCTGTCTACTCACAGTCGCCCGCTTTTGAACGTTTGGATTGGCAGGAGCCGGACCCAGTGGCGGAAGCTCATCCCAGGTCTCAAACACGAGCCTGCCGATTGTCAGCCCAGAGTCCTAACCACCTCAGCCACCGTGCTCCCAACTCCCAAATATTACCTATTCCGTTTGTAATTCTGGGAGGCGATCAAACACATCTGGAGGTTTGGGTCAAGAAGAAAAAAGCTACTTTAGTTGTTCTTGAAAGCTTGTTGTTGTTGTTAGTTGTGAAGTCGTGTCCGACCCATCGCGACCCCATGGACCACGTTCCTCCAGGCCTTCCTGTCCTCCACCATCTTCTGGAGTCCCTTTAAGCTCACGCCTGCTGCTTCAGTGACTCCGTCCAGCCACCTCCTTCTCTGTCGTCCCCTTCTTCTCTTGCCCTCCATCTTTCCCAGCATCAGGCTCTTCTCCAGTGAGTCCTTCCTTCTCATTAGGTGGCCAAAGGACTTGAGTTTCAACTTCAGGATCTGGCCTTCTAAAGAGCAGTCGGGGTTGATCTCCTCTACGACTGACCGGTTGGATCGCCTTGCAGTCCAGGGGACTCGCAGGAGTCTTCTCCAGCACCAGAGTTCAAAGGCCTCCATTCTTTGGCGCTCCGCCTTCTTTTGCGATCCAAACTGACCAATATATGCTCCTTTCTTAGCAGGACCCTAGCAGAGAAGAGGAGGAGGAGGAGAAGGAGGAGGAGGAGGAAGGAGGAGAACATCCTGCAGAAGCTGACACGTGCTGGTGAGTTAAAGAATACTAGCATAGTTACTGGTAATATCCTGATGGAAGAGGAATTCTAACAATGCAACCAACCAATAGCTTGGGAAACGCCACGAATGCACTCCTGTGTAAAAACTGATAAGCCAATATCTACAGCTACGTAGATATTTCTTCCATCCTGGCAGTGCTAAGCAAATACTCTGTTTTAGACACCAAGTTTCATCAGTGCCTTTTCATCCGCAGAATGGGTATAAACCCAGTCCCATCAGTTGCTCAGTGGAAATTCCTCTTGTTTTTAACTTGGTTTTAACGCCTAGTGGGAGGGCACTATGCTTCCCTTGCTAGGAACCGAGCCCATTTATCCCATTGAAATAGGCAGTTTTTGAAATGGGACAGAGAGGAGGGCGTGGACCTATCCTGAAAAACACTAGAAGGCAGGACAAGAAGCAACAGATGGAAACTAACCAAGGAGAGAAGCAACCTGGAACTAAGGAGGAATTTCCTAACAGGGAGAACAATTTAACCAGTGGGACGACTTGCCTCCAGACGTTGTGGGCGCTCCATCGCTGGAGGTTTTTAAGAAGGGACTGGACAGCCCTTTGTCCTGAATGATTATAGGGTCTCCTGCTTGAGGGGGTTGGACTTGAAGACCTCCAAAATCTCTTCCAGCTCTTATTCCGTATTCAATATTCCAAGCACAGTGTGTTTTCAGTAGAGAAGATATTCTGGAATCGTTTACTGTGAGGATGATAACTTCCCGTTTAAAAAAAAAGCCCTTTAGTATGTAGGGAGATTGCTTGTCATGCATTGCCATATTTAATAATAATAAAGTTGGAAGGGACCTTGGAGGTCATCTAGTCCAACCCCCTGCTCAGGCAGGAAACCCTATACTATTTCAGATAAGAATAGAATAGAAATAGAATAGAATAGAATAGAATAGCAGAGTTGGAAGGGACCTTGGAGGTCATCTAGTCCAACCCCCTGCTCAGGCCGGAAACCCTATACTATTTCAGATAAGAATTGAATAGAAATAGGAATAGAATAGAATATGAATGGGATAGGATAGGATAGGATAGAATAGAATAGAATAGAATAGAATAGCAGAGTTGGAAAGGACCTTGGAGGTCATCTAGTCCAACTCCCTGCTCAGGCAGGAAACCCTATACTATTTCAGATAAGAATGAAATAGAATAGAATAGAATAGAATAGAATAGAATAGAATAGAATAACAGAGTTGGAAGGGATCTTGGAGGTCATCTAGTCCAACCCCCTGCTCAGGCAGGAAACCCCATACCATTTCAGACAAATGGCTGTCCAGTCTCCTCTTAATTTGATTTGATCAAGTTCACATTTGTTTTGTGGGTGGTTTTAATACTTTTACCCAGCTCTTAATAACACCTTTTACAAGTGTATTCGGTGTTTGCAAAAAACCCCAAAACATTACAGCTGGGCTAGGAACTTAATAATCGATTTGTTAAATTAGCACCGGAGGGCGCGCCGAAGCGGAAAACGTGACTCATGGGAACAAAAGGATTCCTAAAGACCCGGAGACCTGTGACATCCCGTTCTACGTGTCTGAATTTGTGGAAAGGAAAGTTGGGACGGATTACGATTCATTAAGCAAGCTCGGCAAGCTGATTGAGCAGTTGTCAAAAAACCAGATGAAATTAGAAGAACAGGTGAGTTCCATCCTGAGAGGGAAGGTGTGTTCAAATACTTTAAGAAAAATAGCCCACTCTTTAGGTTTCCAATTATTTGGACTCTAAATGAAGCATTGGGCAGCCTTCTCCAAGGCCTGGCATTTCTTCACATATTACAAATAATATTTCACGGATATGGTCCTTGATTTACAACCATTTTTTGAGCGGCTGAATTTACAACGGCCCTGGAAAAAAAGGTGACTTGTGACCAGTTTCTCACACTTATGACCGTTGCAGCCTCCCCACGGTCACTTGATCAAAATCCAGCCGCTTGCCAACTGGCGTGTATTTTGTGACCGTTGCACTGCCCTGTGGTCACGTGATCACTACATGAAACCTTCCCAGCCGGCTTCTGACAAAAGTCAATGGGGAATCATTAAGCAAGGATTCGCTTAATAACTGTAGCAAGAAAGGTCGTAAAATGGGGCAAAATTCATTGCCTTGCTGAGCGATGGGCTAAATTGCAGTTCTAATTCGAGGACTATCTGTCCAGGGAATCCCAGGCATGAAGCCCACGTTTATGGATTTTAACTATTTAAATGCGGGAAGGCTGTTTTTAAAGTAACATACATTGGTCTGTATCGGGTAGGCAACCTTGGCTCTTTTATGACTCGTGGACTTCAACTCCCAGAATTCCTCACCCAGCATGGGGGAATTATGGCCCCCTTCATGACTTGCGGACTTCAACTCCCAAAATTCCTGAGCCAGCATGGCTTAGCTTGGAAACCTCTCCCTTTCCCCTCAGCATGGCTGGCTCAGGAATTCTGGGAGTTGAAGTCCAGAAGTCATGAAGGGGTCATAGTTCCCCCATGCTGGCTCAGGAATTCTGGGAGTTGAAGTTCACAAGTCATGAAGGGGTCATAGTTCCCCCATGCTGGCTCAGGAATTCTGGGAAGTCCAGAAGTCATGAAGGGGGCCATAGTTCCCCCATGCTGGCTCAGGAATTCTGGGAGTTGACGTCCAGAAGTCATGAAGGGGGCCATAGTTCCCCCATGCTGGCTCAGGAATTCTGGAAGTTGAAGTCCACGAATCATAAAAGAGTCAAGGTTGCCTACCCCTGGTCTGTATATAGCCAGGGCTGGCTGAGAAATTCTGGGAGTTGAAGTCCACAAAGTCTTAAAGTTGCCAAGTGTGAAGACTCCTGGTATATAGGATATATTTGGCTCATGCACCAATATTACACCCATCACATTGGATGTGATAAATAACATTGGCGTTGATTGTCAGGTCACGTATTGAACTAATTCTCACTTGTTTTTTATTCAGACCATTTTAAACAAGTTTTTTCTCTCTCTTAAGACTAGCTTTCTATTGCCGTTTTAATGTTTTTGGTTGCTTAATGGACACGATACAGGAAGTACCGATAGTCCTCGGCTTACAACAGTTCATTTAGCGACCGTTCAAAGTTGCAACGGCACTGAAAAAAGTGACTTATGACCGTTTTTCACACTCACAACCGTTGCAGCCATCGCCAGGGTCACGTGATCAAAATTCAGTCCCTTGGCAACTGACTTATATTTACGACGGTCGCAGAGTCCCCCCCCCAGGGTCACGCGATCCCCTTTTGTGTCCTTCTGACAAGCAAAGTCAATGGGGGAAACCAGGTTAACAACTTAACCACCATGTTACCAAACTTAACCACTGCAGGGATTCATTTAACAACTGTCGCACGAAAGGTCATAAAATGAGGCCGCACTCACTTAAATGTCTCGGCGACAAAAATTTTGGGCTCGGGCGTTGTCGTTAAGTCGAAGGTGGTCCGTGTAACCGCCTGCTGCTCTCCCGACGACGACAGGTTCTCACCGTTTCATCGGAAGTCCCCAAAAGGATCCAGAAGGCCTTGCAGAACGCCGAAGATTCGAAGAAATCTTTCCACGAGCTTCTGGAGAGCGAGAGGGTTTTGAACGATGCGGTGAACGGCCACCTGTTGACCTCCAGCCCTTGGATGGAGGAGTTTGCTGCCTTGATAAGCCAAATAAAAGAAGTCGAGAGACACCTGGCTTACTTAAAACAGATTTCACAAGTAGAAGAATTAAGGTAAAGAAGGTTTCAAATCGTTTCGTATTGTTTCAGTATAACGGAAGGCTTAAAACGGAGGTCACCAACCTTTTGTCGGTTGGCGGACCGGAGGAAAAGGGAGAGGGAAGCATTTTACGTGTGTGTGCGCGCGCCCGGGGCCGCGAGCACAGGCGTGCCGCAAACGGGGCGGGACTAGCGCCTGCATGATACTAGCCCTGCCCTGTTCTTGCGTGGCGCAGCCCCTTGTTTCTGCGCCCGTGGTGCGGCGGTGGCCATTTTTGTGCCTTGCAGCGGGGCGGTGGCCCATTTTTGCACCCCGTGATATGGCGATGCCCCGTTTTCGCACCCCGAGGCCCATTTTTGCACCCCATGGCACAAAAATGTTATATGAGTATGTGACTACATGCTTGAATTTCTTTGATTTATTTACTTAGTTTACAGTAATAACCTTTCTTTGCCTCTGGCATTCAGGCTCCTAAGGTAGCTTTGTGATAATTTTTTGATTTCCATATGGAATTAGTTGGCTAATTTATTTATTTTTCACAGGTAATTCTATTTTAGGGGGTCTTTGGTGCTCTCTGAGCTTGGTGGTTTTCTTGCAGATGTTTCATTGCTAACACTGATGGTGTTACCTAGTTGGGTCATGAAATGTCTGCAAGAAAACCACCAAGGGACTGAAGGCTAAAACATATAAGGAACGGTTGCTGGAATTGGGTATGTCTAGTTTAATGAAGAGAAGGACGAGGGGGGACATGATAGCAGGGTTCCAGTATCTCAGGGGCTGCCCCAAAGAAGAGGGAGTCAAGCTATTCTCCAAAGCGCCTGAAGGCAGGACAAGAAGCAACGGATGGAAACTAATCAAGGAGAGAAGCAACCTAGAACTAAGGAGAAACTTATTGACAGTAGGAACAATTAACCAGTGGAACAACCTGCCTCTGGAAGTTGTGGGTGCTCCATCACTGGAAGTTTTTAAGAAGAGACTGGACAGCCATTTGTCTGAAATGGTATAGGTTCCCCTGCCTGAGCAGGGGGTTGGACTAGATGACCTCCAAGGTCATGACCTTCCAACTTTATTATTATTATTAAGCTCAGAAGATCAAAGAATCACAGTTCAACCCCAAGCTACAAACACTAATTCTATTTTGGTTTCATGTGATGATTTTTGCTTCCGGCAATACCCCACATGGTATAATCTCTGCCCATTTGTTTTTTTTTTTCCCCTCTCTGTTTTGCCAGTGACAACATCCAGCAGTATCTAATGACCAACAACGTGCCCGAGGCTGCTACGGCCTTGGCGTCCATGGCTGAGTTAGATATCAAGCTTCAAGACTCTTCCTGCTCACATCTCTTGACTTTTATAAGATCTACTATTCAATTCTGGCACAAGATCCTGAAAGACAAATTGTCCAGGTAGGAAAACGTCCATTTAATTGTCTTAGGCTTCCTTTGGATCGCCCAGTCATGGCGATAACAACTCGCTCGTGTTTTTTTGCAGTGATTTCGAAGAGACGCTGACGCAGCTGCATTGGCCATTTATTGGACCAGCACAATCCCAAGCTTTGGGCCTGGCTCCCTCCTCGCCGAACGCCGCAGAAATATACAATAACTTTGAGACCCTGTTTTCTCAACTCCTCAAACTGCAGGCATCGTATCCTCTTTAAGTTATCTTTTTTTTTTTAAGTATCCGGTTAGCCTTGGCTGAAATGCAGAATTATTGTATAATTCTTTATGGAATGTAGGGTCATGGTGGACACTTGGATTCCATCCTACCTCTGTAAGCCCTTGCACGTATTCTCACCACATTGTACCTTAACACATAAAAAAAAATCTCAGGGACGAACTATTAACCAAGCCGAAGCAACTGCCGGAAAAATACCTCCTTCCATCAACTCCACCTGTGATACTACCTATGCAGATCATGCTGGCTCCCCTTCAGAAAAGATTCAAGTACCATTTCACGGGGAATCGGCAAACCAACGTCCTGAGCAAGGTAGAATAGCCTGGATCGGCAGATCCTCCACTTAGAGGTTCTGTTTTTAAAAACTTACTTCGTAAAGGTTGCAGCCCGGGAGGGTAAGTGGAACGAACCCCGATCTTCAGTTTTTCTCTGAAAAGTTACTCGAGTTTACAGACCGCCCTCAACATAACGGCCACAATTGAGCCTAAAATTTCTGCCGCTACGTGAGACGGTTGTTAAGTGAGTTTTGCCCCAGTTGTTAAGTGAACCACTGCCGTTGTTAAGTTAGTAACCTGGTTGTTAAGTGAAGCTGGATTCCCCATTGACTTTGCTGGTCACGAGGTCGCAAAAGGGGATTGCACAGCGCTGCAACCGTCATATATCTGAGTCACTTGCCAAGCATCTGAATTTTGATCACGGGACCGTGACGATGCTACCACAGCTGTAAGGGTGGAAAAACGGCCGTGTTACTTTTTCCAGTGTCGTCGTGACTTCAAAACTGTCACTCAATGAACTGTTGTAAGTTGAGGACTACCTGTCTCTCCCTAATATTCAGCAAGGAGTGAACTTGCTTCAGTGGGGCCAATAGATCTCACTTGTTCCCTGATGGCTCTCTGGGCCAGCCGAGAATGTGCAGAGTGGAGGTTACCCACGGCTGGCTGGGGAATTCTGGGAGTTGAAGTTCACAGCTCTTAAAGTTGCTAAGGTCGGGCTCCCCAATGGCCTATACCAGGGGTAGGCAACCTTGGCTCTTTTATGACTCGTGGACTTCAACTCCCAGAATTCCTGAGCCAGCATGGCTCAGCTTGGAAACCTCTCCCTTTCCCCTCAGCGTGGCTGGCTCAGGAATTCTGGGAGTTGAAGTCCACCAGTCATAAGAGAGCCAAGGTTGCCTACCCCTGCCCTATACCATGCTGGCTGGGGAATTCTGGGAGTTGAAATTCACATCTTAAAGTTCCCAAGATCAGACTGTGGCCTATACCATGGCTGGCTGGGGAATTCTGGGTCTTAAAGTTGCTAAGGTCGGACAACTCTGAGGTAGGGCATGATGTTGCTTTGTTGTCCCTTTGACTGAGCAGCGCACAGGTTTTTCTCTGATTTTGTCTGACTTTTCTCCTTCCCAAGCCCGAGTGGTATCTTACCCAAGTATTGATGTGGATTGGGAACCACGTGTCGTTTCTCGAAGACAAAGTTCAGCCCATCCTGGACAAAGCAGGCACTTCCGCGAACGCAAGGGTAAAACCCTCTCTCCTTTTCTTGTGAATTGGCAGCCCTTGTCCCACAGGCAGTCCTTGACTTACCGCCACAACTGAGCCCAAAATTTATATTTTGCTAAGCCAGATGGTCATTAAGTGAGTTTTGCCCCGTTTTACGACTTGCCACAGGTGTTAAGCGAATCGCTGCAGTTGTTCAGGTAGTACCACGGTTGTTAAGTGAATCTGGATTCCCCCGCTGACTTCACTTGTCGGAAGGTCGCAGTCCCATGACCCCGGGACGTTGCGACCGTCATAAATATGAACCGGTTGCCAAAGCATTTGAATTTTGATCACGTGACCCTGGGGATGGTGCAGCGGTCGCAAGCGTGAAAAATGATCGTAAGTCCCTTTTTCCCAGCACTGTTGTAACTTTGAACGGTCAGTAAGCGACCTGTTGTAAGGCAAGGACCGCCGTACTTTATTTTCGGTCTTGTCCCTAGTTTGCTCTATTCTACAGCGTCAGAGCAGGCACAATCTTATTGCACTGAGGTAACCCAGGAGTAAATACAGTAAACAGTAGTCTGTATTAAATGGTGATTTATATTACACTATCTACAAATATACACTAGAAACAGGATACACGCACGGGGTGATTCAGCAAACTCCGATACACAGCAATTACCGCGGGAAATGGACAAGAGAGAAAGACTCCAGCAAAAAGCCTTCCTTCCCTTTTATACTCAGACTCTTAAAGGGATACACACACCCGCTGAATCATTCCTAACATTGCATCATTCATCTCACATTATATAAGCTGGTTAGCTTCTAAATCATTATCTTGACGTACAGGGTGTTGTTGTTTTTTTAAAGATTTTGGTCTGAAGTTTTGATCACATGACCGTCGGGACGCTGCAGCGGTCGTGAGCGTCAATCCCTTTTTTCCAGTGCCGTTGTGACTTTCGACGGTCCCTAAAAATGAATTGTTGTGAGTCGAGGACTGCCTCTGACAAGAGCCACACGGTCCTTTTATCTGTTGGTTTTAATTTTTATCTCTTTTGCTTCTTAAGTTGGAGTTTTCCCGGGCTTTGGTCATGCTCATCCTGGAGAAGCTGGACGCCGAGATCCCTTGCATGTTGTACGACGACAACCTCTTCTGCCACCTGGTGGACGAGATCCTCCTGTTTGAAAGGGAGCTGCACGGTCTTCGCGGCTACCTCACCACTCTCCCCAGCTGCATGCACATTTTATCGGAAGAAACCTACTTTCAGAGATGGTTGACGGTAGAGAGAAAATGTAAGACGCTACGGCAGAGGTCCCCAAACATTTGGGCAGCAGGGACCACCGGTTCCGTGGAGAGAGGTTTTTCCGCGGACTGGAGAGGGCGTGGTTTTGTGTGCTGCCTGCATCCCATGGATAGGTCTTTGCTTGTTTGTGCGGACCGGTTGCTGGCGTGCTGCGGCTCAGTACCGGTCCACAAACTGGGGGTTGGGGACCCTTGTGCTATCATTTCCTTGGATTAAACAATCCCCTTTTTTTTCCTTCCTGAGCAATAGTTACCCTGAATGTAAACAGGTGGCGGGATCAAATACAGGTAGTCCTCGACTTACGACAGTTCATTTAGTGACCGTTCAAAGTTACAACAACACTGGGGAAAAAAAGTGACTTAAAACAATCATTTTTCCCACGTAGGACAGTTGTGGCGTTCCCCCACAGTCATGTGATCAAAATTCAGACGCTTGGCAACTGACTCGTATTTATGACCGGCACAGTGTCCCAAGGTCACGCGATTCCCCTTTTGCGACCTTCCGACAAGCAGAGTCAAGGGGGAAGCCAGGATCACTTAAACAACTGTCTTACTATCATAACAACCACACAGTAATAACTGTGGCATGAAAGGTCGTAAAATGGGGGCAAAATTCACTGAAATATTTCACTTTGCAACAAACCTTTGGGGCTCAATTGTGCTCGTAAGCCGAGGACTATCGGTCACGTATAAAATTAACGCACCGTAATGTCTGCATTTGGGATTTTAAAAAAAAAAAGGTGGTGCTTCGTTTTTCTGACTGAGCCTTTTCTTCGTAGCTGCACTTGTGAATGAGCCTTTAGCTTCGTCATTGTGTCTTCCTCACAGTTGCTCTTCAGAAGATGGACTCCATGCTGTCATCGGAAGCTGCTTGGGTATCCCAGTACAAGGACATCACTGATGTAGATGAAATGAAGGTCCCAGACTGTGCAGAGACTTTTATGACTCTCCTCCTGGTGATCACCGGTAATTATAACGGGCTTTTGGCATTTTGCTTCCGTGGTTTATTCGTTCAAGAATGGTACCGTATCTTTTACGGGAAAATAAACTGCCGTTAGTAGTCAAGTAGAAATAGATTTCAAGAGGTACCAATATAGGAAAATATTTAGAATGGAATAGGAATAGGAATAGGAATAGGAATAGGAATAGAATAGAATAGAATAGAATAGAATAGAATAGAATAGAATAGAATAGAATAGAATAGAATGTGACCGTTCAAAGTTACAACGGCACTGGAAAAAAAAGTGACAGGACTATTTTTCAGAGTCACAGCCTTTGTAGCATCCCCACGGTCACGCGATCAAAATTCACACGCTTGGCAACTGGCGCGTATTGATGACCGTTGCATGTGATCCCCTTTTGCGACCTGGTGGGCCAAGTCAAGGGGGGGAGGCAGATTCACTTAACAACTGGGTTACCGACATCGCAACAGCAACCGTTCCCTTAAAACCGTGACCAGAAAGGGGCATAAAAATGGGGCCAAAACTCACTTAGCCGCTGTCACGCTTAGCGACAAAAAATTCAGGCCCCGTCGTGGTTGTAAGCCGAGGACCACCTGCATTCTGTTATTCCATCTCAAGAAAGTCCAGGGCAGCAGCCCAGCGACGCAGATCTTTCCGGAACACAAACAGCGGGTTTCGTGAGCCCTGCCTGTGAGTTAAAAAGAACCGAGGAAGGAGAACTTGCAGAAGAGCCTGAAGATGGATCTTTCCTTCCAGCGCGGAGGTTAACTTGGAATTTTCACAACGTGAAAATAACGCCAGTGCTTTGCGATTTCCACCCAGACAGGTACAAGCATCTTCCCACAGCGGCTCGGAAACTGCGCTTCCTCGAATTGCAGAAAGAGCTGGTGGACGACTTTAGGATCCGGCTCACTCAGGTCATGAAGGAAGAAACCAGAACGCCTCTCGCCTTTCGCTACTGTGCGATCCTGAACGCCGTCAACTACATAGCGACGGTGCTAGCAGACTGGGCCGACAACGTTGTAAGTAACAGTGTGGTGGCGGGAGCCCTTAGTGGGTGGTCGAAAGGCTTTTAGGCGAAGCTACATTCTGATAGAACGGAGCCGTCTGTCGCTGGGGGCCGAGCTGCGGGGTGACCTCTGATCTTGGTGGTTGCCTTGCAGACGTCTCGTGACCCAGCTAGGTAATCTTATCAGCGCTAGAAGGGGGGGTTGTAGAATGGAGGAGAAGGAGAAGAGCAGGAGGACTAAGGCAGGGGTCTTCAAACTTGGCCCTTTTATGATGTGTGGACTTCAACTCCCAGAATTGCCCAGCCGGCATGGGGGGGGGGGAAATGCTGGCTGGGGAATTCTGGGAGTTGAAGCCCACGCATCTTAAAATCGCCAAGGTTGAGAAACATTGATTTAGATCAGGGGTGTCAAACTGCCGGCCTACGGGCCGGATGCGTCACACAAAAGCCGTGCCCACCCCAGCTCCGTCAAGGGGGGGGGAAGTCACGATACGTTGTCATACATCACGTGACGAGTTTGACACCCCCGATTTAGATCGCGGAACGGCTGTAGCGCCACCTACTGTTGGCATGTGGTTAGTAAAGACGGGAGGACCTCAGCTGCGAAGAGCTTTTCTCTCCCTTAACGTGAAGAGATGCTCTTGAAATTTTTCGTGCCCTGCCCTTAGCTCCTTTTACTAAGCTCCTGAATCCAAAGCATATGCTTTAGCTGAAAGTTAAGATCCTTAAAAAAAAAACTAGTGGTGATAACTAGATTTTCTTGTTTTTTCTTTGAAGAGGTTTCGCTTCTCATCCCAGAGGCTTCTTCGGCTCGGACTGGATGGTGGGGAATGGAAGGATTTATACTCCTTGCAGACAGCTGGTCATTTGCATCCTTTTAGAGCGTCGTTGAGACCACTTGGAAGTTTATCTATGTCTTTAGGGTCACCTGAGTGGTGCAGATGGGTGTGGAGCCTTCTGGGCTGCAGGATATTTTCTGCCCAGTGTCCCTTCACTGTTGGGGATGAGTCTGTGTTGTCTGCATCTCAAACTGAAGCGCAAATGGTTCCCGTAGTCTGCAACGTTTTCCGAAAATCCATTCATATCCCCGCACCGTTTAAGGGGTGTTCATCCCCAAGGGCATAGCTAAATGTCTATGGAGATTCTCAGATCCTTCCACTCCCCACCATCCAGTCAGAACTGAAGAAGCTTCTGGGATGAGAAGCAAAACCTCTTCAAAGAAAAAACAAGGAAGTCCAGTTGCCTCCTGAAAAAAAAGCACCTTTGGGACAAACCAGGACCTGGATAGACTGAGAATCTCCCGAGACGCTAGTGGTGATCCTTTTTTGTTTTTCCTTCCCCCAATGTGGTTTCTCTGCGCAGTTTTTTTTACAGCTGCAGCAGGCGGCCCTGGAAATGTGCGCCGAAAGCGACGGGCTGAGCATGCTGCAGTTAGGGCAGCTGGCTTCTCTGGAAAGCTCTGTGTTCGATGACATGATCAACCTCCTGGAACGGCTGAAGCACGACATGCTCAGCCGCCAAGTCGACCACGTCTCCAAAGAGGTTAAAGAGGTGGCCAAGATCTACAAAAGGGAAAGGTAAAAACTTAGGCAGGAAACCCTAAACCATCTCAAGACAAATGGCCATCCAGTCTCTTCTTAAAAACTTCCAGTGATGGATCATTCACAAGATCTGGAGGCAGGTTAATTGTCCTCCCCGTCAGGAAATTCCTCCTTAGTTCCAGGTTGCTTCTCTCCTTGGTCAGTTTCCATCCGTTGCTTCTTCTCCAGCCTTCCGGCACTTTGGAGAATAGTCAAATCACACAATGGGAAGGGAGTGGGCAACATGTCTCCCCTTTGATGACGCGTCGCCAGCCCTTGCTCTGAGTGTCTGAACAGATCTTTTCCCAGATCTACCATCCGAGCACTTTTGTAGGAGAAGGAGTCAAGAGAGGAATCAGCCTGGAATCGTTACGTTCCCACAAACAGCTTAGTCCAGCCCTTCTCGAATTCTGTTTGACTCTTACCCAGCGCCAATTTAGTGCTGACCGGCTAGATTTCTTGTGTTATTGGCACGGACCCTCAATCAGCTTCACGTGTGGACACCTGATTCTTCGCACCGGACATTTTTCATTGACGGGGGAACGAGCCAAGCTACGGGCTTGACTTGAGCCAGGTTTCGTGTCTCTTGCGTAGGTGGCTCTCCTTGCCTTCCCAGGCCGAACAAGCGGTGATGTCCTTATCCAGCACTGCCTGCCCTTTGCTCCTGGCTTTGCGAGACCGGCTCCTTCAGTTGGAGCAGCAGCTCTGCTACTCCTTGTTCAAAACCTTCTGGCAAATGCTCGCTGAGCAAGTTGACTTGTTCATCTATCAGGAGGTAAGCAGCGTCGCCCGCGTCTTGCTGGGACTTTAGCCGAGACGGTCCTGGTTTTTAAACGCGGCCGGCCTTTGATCCGCACGCCCTCTCTTTTAGGTCATTCTGGCCAACCATTTCAACGAAGGGGGAGCGGCCCAACTCCAGTTCGATATGACTCGGAATCTTTTCCCTTTATTCTCCCATTACTGCAAGCGGCCGGAGAATTATTTCAAACAGTGAGTATGGCGCACAATGCTTGTTTATTTCTAAGTTGCCTATGGCAGTGGTGGCGAACCTATGGCACGCGTGCCAGAGGCGACACTCAGAACCCCCTCTCTGGGCACGCGCGCCATGCCCCGGAGATGGCAACCGTCCTTCTTCAACCAGCCGCCCACTAACTCGCCGAGGTCCCACATGGCTGGATGCATCCCAGCACCCATGCGCTCGCTGGCCTCTTGTGTGTGGGGGCCGATGGTGTCAGGCAGCAGCCGTCCCTGCCTCGCCTTGTGACAATGACACCCCCACCCTGCCTCGCCTCATCCCGCAGGACGAGCCTCCTGCCCACTGCCCCACCTGCCAGAGACCCCCTGGATCTCCCCCAACCCTGCCCGGCCCCCACAGGCGTCCCTCCCCACGAGCAACATTGAGGTGATCACACCCATGGCTGGCTGGGGAATTCTGGGAGTTGAAGTCCACAAGTCTTAAAGAGGCTGAGTTTGAGGACCCCTGGTATAAGGACGAAGACTGTCCAGTCTCTTCTTAAAAACCTCCATTGTTGGAGCATTCACCGCTTCTGGAGGCAGGTGGTTCCACTGGTTAATTGTTCTCACTGTCAGGAAGTTTCTCCTTAGTACTAGGTTGCTTCTCTCCTTGATTAGTTTCCATCCGTTGCTTCTCGTCCTGCCTTCAGGTGCTTTGGAGAATAGCTTGACTCCCTCTTCTTTGGGGCAGCCCCTGAGATATTGGAAGACTGCTATCATGTCCCCCCTCGTCCTTCTCTTCATTAAACTAGACATACCCAATTCCAGCAACCGTTCTTTATATTGTTTGAAAGTTCTCAGAATCACACAAGATTTTTGTCACCTGGCAGTTAAAAGCTTCTCTCGGAGAAAGAAACCTAAAGTTATCTTGGATGAGGGATCGGTGGTTGTGTTACTCTTTGAAACGTACCCAGATTTAGAACTGGATTTATTTTTTTATTTTTTTTTTGTCTAGCATCAAGGAGGCCTGTATTGTGCTGAACTTAAACATCGGTTCCGCCCTGCTGTTGAGGGACGTGCTACAGTCGGCTCCGGAAACCAGAACTGGAATCAGCTTTCCTTCAAATCAACCCACCGCTGTGGCAGCTTTAAATGAACTTGGGATTTATAAGTTAGCTCCAAAGGATGTTGAGATTCTCCTTAATTTGAGGACAAATTGGCCTAATACGGGCAAATAATCAAGGCGAACAGAACGGAGAGACACTCATCGCTGTTACATTATTTAGAAATGACCCTATGTTCTCATGTGATGCCGAGTAAACTGCCTTAGAAAGAAAAACATGCATTAAAAAACAGCTGAAAACTAAACCGCGATACATCACGGCTTCAAAGAAACATTTATAGTTTGATGGTCTGGTTACTGTATTGGCTGTTACTCTCAGTTCTGGAGAGAGACACCTTTCATTTTCTCAGTTGACTGTGCCAATCAGGTGAAAAACCTCTTTTAAATGGAGGAATTATTCTAACATATGCTCCATATGATAGAAATAGTCATCTTAGAGGAACACACTGGATTATTTTAAAAATTCCTGGGATAGACCTGTTTATTGCCTCCTCTGATGCTCAGATTAATCTCGCTTAACTGGATTGGAGTGTCTTCAGAACCTTTTGTGTTACTAAGATTGTGGTCTGAGAGATATTACACGGGGGCTAAAACGAGCAGAATCATTCTTGCCTTTTTGAATGAACCGTGTGTCGACAAAAAGCACAAAAGGGACAAACAATTTTGCATGCCATTCCGTGGCAAATTTTACTTCCTTTGGCTCCTAACGTTAGCATATTTCTAATCCAGATAAGATGAAGGCTTTGCAGAGATTTGCCAGTGTGCAGTTCTTTAAACGTACTCTACAATTATAGAAAATATATGTGATTAGTCTCCTTTTGATGAGAAAGTTGGAGTCATAATCTTCCGTCAATGTGTAAACTAGTCATAATGTCATTTTTTTTTCTGATGGAAAAATTTACATTGAATCAATCTCCCTGAAATAAAAAGACCGCTAAAATCTTAGTGTTGGCTAACACTCCCAGTATTTATTTAGCAAATTCAGTAGGATAACAGTTTTGAAGATTTTTCAAATATGGGAAAAGGAGATGTTTTGTACCTGTGTTCAGTGATGACGTAATTAGTACAAGTGAAGACCGTGATATATATATATAAATGAAATTGCTAGCTTTTTTTTCCCAGAAAGTAAAAAATAGATATATAAAATATTCCAGGTGAGAATATTCAGCATTAAACTGTTGTCCACAGTTCAGCAAATTTTTTCGTCCTGTTGTGGGGGGAGAACAAAGATACATAACATATAAAGATAATATATAAACAATTGCATTTTTCCCCCATCACAGCCAGTTTAGTTATGGGATGAACAGTGTATTTAGTGTAAGCACACCAACATACAATTTCTGCCTGCGTGTGTTAGGCGTGTTCTTAGGTTAATACTTAAAATTTGCCTTGGGTTATTTTTATGCATTTATTGGTTATTAAAGGAAGGTCTCGTTTAATAACCGTTTGTTTTAAGGACCGTTCGAAGTCAGGATTGCGCTAAAAATGACTTGCCGCTGGTTCCCGCACTTCCAACTGACACAGTGCCCTGTGGTCACGTGATTATGATTGGGTTTAGCAACCCTCATTTGTGACACGTGCAGCGTGTCCTGTGGTCACATGATCCACCAGTTGCAACCTTCCAGCCAGCTTCCAACAAAATCTGGAGAGGCCGAGAAGATCACAAGTAGTTGGGCCTCTGATGCCTTGCTTAAAATGCCAAAACACAAGGTGGAACATTTTTGGCAATCGCAAAGGAAAGCATGGATTGTCCATCCCGTTTCTAAAGTTTGTTTACGAATCTCATTTACTGCAAGAACATCATCACCGAAATAATATGGACCTCCCTTTAGCCGTCTTGTGTTTAAAAACAATATCCAGGAAAGACTAGTAATGTTTTAGTAATTACAGTGTAGTTTGCAAAAAGGAATCTTTTTGCCTGTATCAGCTCAAACTAGAGCTGATACAGGCAAAAAAAAAAAAGATTCCTTTCTCCCATATTTGGGCCGACAGGGTGCACCAAACTCAAGATAATTCTTCTCCCCTGTCTCATAGCTGACAAAGTGAGAAAGAGCCTGTGGCCTAGAGGCTAATACATCTGCCTAACATGCAGACAGCCCAGGTTCGAATCTCAGAAGGGTATGTCTGGTTGAAAAGAATTAAAAAGTTCGAAATGGCTATTCCAGTTCTCCCTTAATTCTTTGTTAGCAATCCAAATTTTGAAAAACACATATATATATGTATGTATGTATGCCTGCAATTCCACATAAAATGTAATATTTTGGTTTAACTTACAGATTTTCCTTGAACACATTTGACGTAATCATTGCACTTTCGTTGTAAATTACATCTTGGCTACTCAATCCCAAAGACTCAAGTGCTAAAACATAAGAGAGAAATTTTTTTTTTTCCTGAATGCATTGTTGCAGTATATACCACACCTAGTATAAACCTCCGTGCGTATCTGCTTAAAAGAAGGCCTCTACATTTGATTACAGCCTACATTCTTAAGACCATTTATTTCGTGTTTAGGTGGCTGCGATCATGTGATTCACACCAAAATCAGAGTTTGATGACCTACCTATTAAAAATCACCTAGCTGGATTCACACATCATGGCAAGCAACGGCTTGCTAAATATACCACAATTGCCTAGATTTATATACAACACTATTGCCGTAAACTGATTTCCAAATTAGAATGGCTGAATACATGGAAGATACTAAGCCGAAATGAGCAATTTTGAGGGGTTACTATGGGGTTTAAATCCAACCTCTTCTGGCTGGGAAGAAATATTAACCCAACAAAAATATTAGATATATAGGCATGTTTTTCAGCATCTGTTTATGGGAAATCAAATAGAAATAACTATTTTTATTTAAACAAGGCCCTTCTTTGCAGCTATAAAATAGAGAAGTCAATAGAAACTGATCGTGGATTAGACAGTTCTTATATCTAAATGTGTGTATACAGAAATACATGGTTTACACTGCTTATTTATACAGCAAACAGATGGAGGCAGATTAAAAAAACGTAAAAAGTGGTGATTTAGCTTATGTTTTGCTATGTGAATTCTGCTTTTTATATATATATAAATAATTGTGTTACTAAATGGAAAGTTAAAAACTCATTAGATAGACTTAAAAACAGTAAAATAATTAAATGTAAAGCAACTACAAGTATTTCTATAGACTCATCCTGAACTTTCTGCTACCGCAAAGGGCCTTTTTAAAAAAAATATCATTTGCCATCCCTGGCATAAAGAAATACATCCATATTCTGTCAGGATCTAAACAAAGAAAAATTAAGTTGGTCTGAAAATGCAGCTCACTCACAAGAACCTTTTTGTTTTGTTTTGTTTTTTTGGCTTAGCCTTATCAACTGCAGGAGATAATCTTAACTAAAAGTTTCAGGATGGAATAGAGATGACTCTTGTCATCCTGCCTATTTATACAGGGAGTCCTCAACTTAGGACCACAATTGAGCCCAAAATTTATGTTGCTAAGAGATAAATTTATTAAGTGAGTTTTGCCCCATTTTTTGACTTTTCTTGCCACATTTGTTAAGTGAATCACTGCAGTTGTTAAATTAGTAACACGGTTGTTAAGTGAATCTGGCTTCCCCATTGACTTTGCTTGTCAGAAGTTGCAAAAGGGGATCACATGACCCAGGGACACTGCGACCGTCATAAATGTGAGTCAGTTGTCAAGCATCCAAATGTAAATCACGTGACCATTGGGATGCTGCAACGGTCCTAAGTGTGAAAAATGGTCCTAAGTGACTCTTTTTCAGCGCTGTTGTGATCACTAAATGAATTGTTGTAAGCTGAGGACTACCTGTACAGCTTCTGCTAAATTTCTGCTTCCTTGCCCAGGAAATGGTGAGAGCCTAAGGCAGTTTTATAGCACACACCCGTGTAGCAATCTAAAATCTCCTGAGAAAGAAGTCTGTATTTTTCTAGATAACTTTTCTTTGTTTTCTGGAAGAAGATACATCAGACATTGTAATGCTGTGTAAAGGGCACTTTGCTAGCCAAGCCGCTGGTATATTTACAAACAAATCTGTTGGATTTTTGAATAAGAATTTAAATTATCGTTACATTGGTTAGGAAACTGAAGACACTCTTTTTCAGGTTTTCGGTTAGCAATGGAAGACATAAAAAGACGGAGACGAAGTTCATAAGATCCGAAGAAACACCAACCTCCTTTGTATTGTACTACATTTATGTAGCCTTCGCCTCCAACATCTATCATATCGAACATTGCATCCAAGTTTGACTCGTCCATAAGGTTGGGATAATCAGCACTAGACGCTTTGGCAATCTTTACTTTTTCCAGCGTCTTGATCAAAAATTCTCTCGGTCTTTCTGAAAAAGCAAAAAGATTGGTCACGTCATTATCCACGCCAAACCGTATTGTTAAAATATAGATCTAAAACGCCAGCTTAGCCTAACGCAGGGGACTCCAAACTTGATGACTTTGAGACTTGTGGACTTCAACTCCCAGAATTCCCCAGACAGGCATGAATTCTGGGAATTGTAGTCCACCCATCTTAAAAGCTGACAAGGTTGAAAATCGCCAGCTTAGCCTAACACAAGGGTCTCCAACCGTGGTGACTTTTAAGACTTCAGGACTTCAACTCCCAGAATTCTTTAGGCAGCATGAATTCTGGGTGTTCTAGTCCACCCATCTTACAAGTTGACAAGGGACTTTGACTTGTGGGCTTTAACTCCCAGAATTCCCCAGCCAGCCATGAATTCTGGGAGTTGTAGTCCATCCATCTTAAAAACTGACACGGTTGAGATAGGCCAGCTTAGCCTAACACAAGGGTCTCCAACCTTGGCAACTTTTAAGACTTGTGGGCTTCAACTCCCAGAATTCCCCAGGCAGCCAGGAATTCTGGGAGTTGTAGTCCACCCATCTTAAAAACTTTGACACGGTTGACATAGGCCAGTTTAGCCTAAGGCAAATTTCTCCAACCTTGGCAACTTTTAAGACTTGTGGGCTTCAACTCCCAGAATTCCCCAGGCAGCCATGAATTCTGGGAGTTGTAGTCCACCCATCTTAAAAACTGACACGGTTGAGATAGGCCAGCTTAGCCTAAGGCAAATTATTCACACATTAGGCCAGGAGTCTCCAAACTTGGCCACTTTTAAGGCTTGTGGACTTCAACTCCCAGAATTCCCCAGCCAGCCATGCTGGCTGGGGAATTCTGGGAGTTGAAGTCCACAAGACTTAAAAGTGGCCAAGTTTGGAGACTCCTGGCCTAATGTGTGAATCCCTCACAGGTCATCTCTGAGGCAACGAGTGCCACCAAGGGAGCCATGCAGAAAACCCTCCTTTTTTAAAAAATAAAAATAAAAAAAGCAACCCCCATTTTTCTAGCTTTATACTCCGCGCAGGGCAAGTCCGCCTTGTCTTCCCTCCGTGCCAGCCTCTCACCCGGCCGGTGATACAGCAGCAACGAGGTCAAACTATACAAAAGTTCGGGGATTTTGTGCTGCGCCAGGTACCCCCGGCCCTCCGTTTCTCGGTCCATCGCCGTTGCTAGGCGACGGCCCAGAACGCGCCGGCCACGTGACGCGGGAAGGCGGAGCGCTCGGCCAATCAGTTCGCCCGCCCGGTTCTGGGCTTTGGGTTGTGAGGGAAGGGCGACGAATGATGACGACGGCAGGAGGGGCGTGGCCTCCGGTCCAAAAGCACTCCGCGCGTGTGGCCCGGGCAAGAGGCGCTGTTGCCCTGTTTAACGACCTGCCAATGTTAAAATTTGCAAGATTTGCCCCCCCAAATGCTGAAGTTATTAAAGATCCGAGCGCACAATAAAAGCACTTTTGTGCATTGGGCGATCTGTCTTCTCTTGGCCAAGAAGGAACGTGTGAACGGATCTTAAACCCCAGCTGACACGGATGCTGCATGAGAATTGGTCTTATTAATAATAATAATAAGTACCAGTAATAAGTACCAATACTAATAATAATGGTACCAATAGCAATAGGCGCCTTGGGTGCAATCCCAAAACAACTGGAGCACCACTTGAACACCATTGGCATTGACAAATTCGCCATTAGTCAATTGCAAAAGGCGGCCTTACTAGGAACTGCTTCCATCCTGCGACGAGATCTGTGATACCATCAAACATCCACATCTGCCTATCCCAGGTCCTTGGGAAGGACTCGATAGGTAGACAAAAAATTCCAAATCCAGTCTGATTAGAATAGAATAGAATAGAATAGAATAGAATAGAAAATGGAATGGAATGGAATGGAATAGAATAGAATAGAATAGAATAGAATAGAATAGAATAGAATAGAAAATGGAATGGGAATGGAATGGAATGGAATGGAATAGAATAGAATAGAATAGAATAGAATAGAATAGAATAGAATAGAATAGAATAGAATAATGAATAGAATAGAATAGAATAGAATGTGAAATGGAGAAAATAGAATATAGAATGGAATGGGAATAGAATATAATAAGGAATGGAACAGAATAGAATGGGAATAGAATATAATAGAATAGAGAATGGAATGGGAATAGGAATAGAATATAGAATGGGAATAGCATAGCATAGATTAGAATATAGAATGGAATGGGAATAGAATAAGGAATGGAATAGAATACAATAGAATATAGAATGGGAATAGCATAGAATAGAATATAGAATGGAATAGTATAGAATGGGAATAGCATAGCATAGAATAGAATATAGAATGGAATGGGAATAGGGATAGAATAGAATAGAAATGGAATAAGAATTAGAATAAGAATAACAGAGTTGGAAGGGCCCTTGGAGGTCTTCTAATCCAACCCCCTGTTTAGACAGGAAACCTATATCATTTCAGACAAATGATTGTCCAATTTCTTCTTAAAAGTGACTGAGCAGTGTACAAAACTCACAGCTGCAGACAGTCCTCGAGGTATAACCATTTATTTAGTCACCATTCGAATTTACCATGGCCTTGAAAAAAGTGGTTTATGACCAGAGGTCACATAACCAAATTTTGATCATGTGACCATGAAAATGCTGCAATGGTCATAAAGTGTAAAAAGCAGTCATAAGTCACTTTTTTTCAGTGCCGATGTAAACAATTGATCACAACAAATTATTGTAAATTGGGGACTACTTGTAGCGTGGTGTGGTAGGGTGATGACTCCAGCCATTATGACTTGGTTAAAATATCCTTATGAAACACAATACACACAATACACAAGGCTTGCCAATTATCTCGGCTTGTGTCGATTTAACGAGTTCTGGTTTTTTGAGAAGGCCTTGGTCAATCACCCTAGTGAAATCTGTCTGATCTATGATTGACACCTGGCTATGAAATGACCGGACAACCCTCCTGTCCATCTTTTTTGAAGATCAAAGGCCTTCCTTTCCTAAGAGTTGTCGGCTTTTGTACTTGGTCATTTGAGGCTTTTTGTACTTGGATGGTAACAATGGAGTCATCACCCAGGGATGACACTTCATATTGACGAGCAGAAATACTAAGTATATTTCCTTATTTTGGGAAGTGAATTTCTCTTTCAGGACAGATCCTAACAAAACCTTTCACCGAGTTGTGTCAAGGCTTGTAATTTTTCCCAGATAACCCTGGAGCGTTTTCTTTTTACAAAGCAATAAAGTGTTGCGTGTGTTTTTTCTTAGAAACATATAAATTATTTTATTTACAAAGCCATGTTACAAATAATAATAATAATAATAACAATAATAATAATAAAGCAAAACCAACAAGTAACAAAAGAAATACAATCGCCCACTGGAGAATATCTCCAGGCCTGGGTGCTAAACCATGGCAGTATCACTCAAGATACACATTTTGTTCTTTATTTTCCCTTTTCTCAAAACTGTAAGTCATAAATTTTACTATTTACATCTACTTTCGACACTTACAATTATCACAAGCATGGAATGGGTTTTCTCAGATACCGCTAAATACATCATAAAAGGTGCAGAAGAAGGAAAATAGTGTTACAAAATATGGGTCCGTAGAAAAGAAATGGGACTGTACACATATGGCAATATTTTTTTTTTTTAGAATGATTGGACGTGCTATTTTTAAAAGTCTTCCCGAAAAGGATTCTAAAATCTGCAGTAGGAAAGCATAATTGAGGAGGTGCAAATTTCACTTCTGTGCAACAGAATTTTATTTATTTATTTATTTATTTCCCATGACCGACCAGCTATGTAAAACCCAAAAGTTTTTATTTAAAGTGCCATGGGTAAAACAGCATAACAAAATAGAAGGTGTAGATAGAAAAATTTCTTTTCTTCTTTTTTTTAAACAAGAGTTCACTGAGAATCGGCAATAATAGAATATGCTGTATAAACTATTCTCTACAAAGGTTGATCGGCACTATGTACAATTGTTAACATCGATACAAAAGAAGGCATATCCAAGTTATCCGAGTTGCTTTTTTAATTTTTATTTCTTATTTTTTAAAATATGGCTGACGGGCCTAGGCATTGCGTTGATGTGTAACGACCAAAGCTTCTGTGCCTCTATTGCTGGAAATCACGTCTTCTGAAGAGTTGGGTGTGTAGAAGGGAAAATGGTTGGAAAGAGGGGTGGGTGGGGAAACCCAACTGTTTAACAAATGCTACACTACAATACAGGCTGGTCTAGTCCATTTCCATTTTTAAAACCGCACTATATATACCATTTTAGTATATATAAATTAAATGACCTTTTTTAAAAAAAAAAAATGTGATGGGACAAAATGTGGAGGGCTGTATTTAATACTTAGCTTTCCAAAACGCTGTGAGATCTAACGTCACGGAAAATGAAAAGTTAAATACACGTTATTCCAAAGCACCCCCACATATCCAGCTTTCTACATAATAGATGCATGTTAAGCTAAGGAAGTCTTGACGTTATTAAATTGTTCCTTCAGCAGCCAAATTCATAATCGTCGTACGTTTTTCCCCCCTCAAAAATATAGAACAGCAGTTCGATCATTGGAGCGTTGTTCTGCTACTGAAATTTGATAACTCCTGCAGCTATACAACACAAAATAAATTAGTTTTTAAAAAACAAGGCTCTGTTCCTACAACCAAAGACCAAAAAATTGTGCAAAAATAAAGATATGTACATTTTGTTTTTCAATCTGAAGAATGTACAATAAAACGCAACTCAAAATACATGAAAAATACAACCATATTTTCTTAAGTTTCACATCGCTCATGAAACTTCTCTTGTCACTTTCCAAGTATAAGAAAACATAAATTACAATAACATTATAAAAATTATTTTTGAGAATATTTTCTAATTTCCCCCAAGAGGCCTAGCCTTGTTTACCGTTGGTTCAACATTTTTCTATGTTTTAAAATCTGCCCTAAGCCTTTACTTGAAAAGGGAAGAAGCTAATAAACTATTTGCATTCATTTTCATTTCTCCCCAAGATGTAAATAAACCTGCGTATAAGTGCACTTTTAATTCTGTAGAAATAAAAGTTAATTCCTTCGTAGTAATTTTGTAGTACCTTAGTAGAATTGGTTTCCTGATTACAAAAGATCTACTTTCGTTTTAAAAAAATCAGTAATTCCTGTAAAAACATTGTCAGTGCAATTTAACTGATGCAAATTCAGTATGTCCGACTTCTGTTTTTGCAAAGGACAGCAATCCTTCTCTTGGCCCCTTCACCTAAGTATGAGGACATGGTCACACAATATTCCTATTAATATTGGCAATAATAGCCAGATGCATTAACCCTTCAGTGTGTTGAAAGGATCTAGAACACTGACACTGGATGCGTAAGTCAGCAAAATTAATGGACACTTTCTTTTCATCCCGAGGACAATAATTCATACAGAAGTTACTGCAAATTTGAAACAATAGCTTTGCTCAATCTATCCTTTTTATCACACGTGGTATTACTTCGAAATGTCCACTGCTCCCGTTGTGGCGAGAAACTAAAAAAAAAGAGGAGAAAACGCAACAATTTCCTTCTAAAGGCATTAATTAAAATCAAGCCCGATTGCACAGATCAGAGGCCAACACATGTAAGAAATTAAAGTAAGCCATGACTACAATTTTATGGAGGAAAAAAAAGGAGAGATTTTAATACAAAATTACGAAAAAAAAATCTGCAGGACACAAGAAACCCAATAAGCTGGCTTGGAGAAGGGCTGCAAAAAATATAGAGATGGTTTGTTCTCCTTATCATGGAAGAGTCCTTATCCGCCCAGGCCGATTTAATGTTTTCTGAAAGAGAAAATCAACAGTTCGTCTTAAATGACAACGGGGATTATGACAATTTTAAAAAAAAAACACAAAAACATAAAATCCAGCAGTCTAAAGATACCGCTAGTCCTCGCCAGTTCATTTAGCGGCCGTTCAAAGCTACAACGGTGCTGAAATAACTGTCTTATTACTCTTTTTCACTCTTATGAACATTGCAGCATCTCCATGAACATGTGATCAAAATTAAAACACTTGGCAACTGACTCATATATATGACGGTCGCAGCGTCCCGGGGAGTCACGTGATCTCCTTTTGCAACGTTCCAAGAAGCAAAGCCGATGGGGGGGGAAGCCAGTTTCACTTAACAATCGTGTTGCTGACTTAACCAACTGCAGTGAATCACTTTGCAACTGTGGCTATAAAGGTCGTAAAACGGGGCAAAGCTCATTTAAACAAATGTTTCCTTTAGCCACAAAAAATCTGGGGCTCAATTGGGGTCCTAAGTCAAGGACTGCCTGTATGCTTTTAGCACATCTCAATTCTGCTTTTCTTTAGGAAACCAAAAAAAGCCAACACAGTGCTAGGCTGCATGAACAGAGGGATAGAATCAAGATCACGTGAAGTGTTGTTAATACCACTTTACAACACCTTGGTAAGGCCACACTTGGAATACGGCGTCCAGTTTTGGTCACCACGATGTAAAAGAGATGTTGAGACTCTAGAAAGAGTGCAGAGAAGAGCAACAAAGATGATTAGGGGACTGGAGGCTGAAACATATAAGGAACGGATGCTGGAATTGGGCGTGTCTAGTTTAATGAAGAAAAGGACGAGGGGGGACATGATAGCAGTCTCCTAGTATCTCAGGGGCTGCCATAAAGAAGAGGGAGTCAAGCTATTCTCCAAAGCACCGGAAGGCAGAACAAGAAAAAACGGATGGAAACTAACCAAACCAACCTAGAACTAAGGAGAAATATCTTGAGTTAGAACAATTAACCAGCGCTGCACATAGTAATCGGATATAATTGCTCTTCCCATCATTTTTTAATTTCAAGGCATTCACAAAAAGAACCAGCCAAGGATTCATAAACTTGGAAGGGACATTTCTTTGCGATTGTGGTTCATTACAGGTTGCTCATAGGTGTGCAAAGGCAGATTATGCACCAAATTCTAGATAAAGTGAAGGTTGGGTGGATGGCAATTATTCAAGGTTTCTAACAATTGCTGGGAATGTGTATCTTTGTCACAGAACCAGCGTTTTATAATTGTTCCCTAAAATGACTTAAGTCTTTAAAGCAGTGGTTCTCAACCTTTTTAATGCCGCGACCCCAACCGGTCGTAAGTTGAGGACTAAACCGGTCGTAAGTTGAGGACTAAACCGGTCGTAAGTCGAGGACTAAACCGGTTGTAAGTCGAGGACTACCCAACCGGTCGTAAGTCGAGGACTTTCCCTGCCCGGGAGCGCCGCACATGCGTGGTTCCGCCCCCTGCACCGGCCGAGGCGTAGCTGGCAAGCGGCAGAGACGGAGCAGGCCGACCACCAGCTGGCCCAGCCCAAGGGAGGTAAGGCACCCGCCGGAAAAGGGAAAAAAAAATGGCGGACAAAAAAAATGGCGGACAAAAAAATGGCGGGCAGCCTTGCTTGGCAACCCCAGTGAAATGGTCGATCGACCCCAAATGGGGTCCCGACCCACAGGTTGAGAACCACTGCTTTAAAGAATACTTAATGGTTACACTAAATGTTTTAGTCCAAAAGCTGGGGGGGAAAGTACATAAGCCTCATCTTTCCAAAAATGCATGGTTAAATATACATCTAGGACAGGGGTAGGCAACCTTGGCCCTTTTATGACTCGTGGACTTCAACTCCCAGAATTCCTGAGCCAGCCATGCTGAGGGGAAAGGGAAAGGGTTTCCAAGCTGAGCCATGCTGGCTCAGGAATTCTGGGAGTTGAAGTCCATGAGTCATAAAAGAGCCAAGGTTGCCTACCCCTGGACTAGGACTTTGTACAAATGGGTAAGGATGTGAGTTTGTTTGGAAAAGGACATTATTACACAGATAGTCCTCGGGTTATGACCGTACTGGAGCCTGCTTTAAAGCTTAAAGATTTAAACCAGCATCCTGAATAATAATGTTCAGTTAAAAGTTTTTCAGTTTCTGTTTTTATGGTTTTTATAGCCAGCGGCCCGGAGCTGTGTTTAAAAGCGGACAGCTGTACAAATCTTTTAAATAAATAAACATAATAAAAGTCATGGACTTGCTAAGATAAACCACCTTTGTTAACCATAATACAGCAATTAAGCGATGCACATTATGACTTAAATATAATTTAAAAACACAACAACAACACAAACTCACTTGTTTGTTGTGCATTAGATTTGATGTACTTGAAGGACTGGACTGGGACAGAGCTATACCACTGTTTTTTCCAATCTGCAAAGCGACAAACAAACAAAAAAAGGCCTTTATTTCCACTAGTTTCTGCATTTCATTGGAACAGAGTTTTCAGGTGTTTTTTTTTTTTTTTTAAAAAAAACCAATTATTCTTAAAAATATTAAAGGGTGGCTTATTTCCAGCAATCTATTCTAAGATACAAAAAAAAATGCTGTCATAGGATGTTTCAGTCCTAAAATGGATCGTGCTGAGTTTTCCTGGAATTTCTGGAAACCTCAAAAGGATCTCGTTGGAGTTCAAACCCCGAAGACTGACTTCTTCTAAGATCACACAAAGTATTAGTACTGCTTTATAAAACTTTAGTAAGACCACACCTGGAATACTGCAGCCAATTTTGGTTGCCATATCACAAAAAAGAGGTTGAAAGTTTGGGAAAAAAATCAGAGAAGAGCAATTAAGAGGATCAAAGGCCTGGAGACTAAAACATATGAAGAACGGCTGTAGGACTTGGGTTTGGCTGGTCTAAAGAAAAGAAGAAATGGGGGGGGACGACACATGATAGCAGCATTCCAGTATCTCAGGGGTTGCCACAAAGAAGAAGGAGTCAAGCTATTCTCCAAAGCCCCAGAGGGAAGGACGAGGAACAATGGTTGGAAACTGATCAAAGAGAGAAGCAACCTGGAATTAAGGAGAAACTTCCTGACAATGAGGACGATTAACCAGTGGAACAGAAGTTGCCTCCAGAAATCGTGGGTGCTTCATCACTGGGGGTTTTTAAGAAGAGGCTAGACAGTCACTTGTCTGACAGGGGCTCCTGATTGAGCAGTGGGTTGGACTAGAAGACCTCCATGGTCCCTTCCAATTATTCTATTCTATTCTATTCTAATTCTATTCTATTCTAATTCTATTCTAATTCTATTCTAATTCTATTCTATATTCCAATATCTATTCTATTCTATTCTATTCTATTCTATTCTATTCTATTCTATTCTATTCTATTCTATTCTATTCTATTCTCCAATATCTATTCTATTCTATTCTCCAATATCTATTCTATTCTATTCTCCAATATCTATTCTATTCTATTCTATTCTATTCTATTCTATTCTAATTCTATTCTATATTCCAATATCTATTCTATTCTATTCTATTCTATTCTATTCTATTCTAATTCTAATTCTAATTCTATATTCCAATATCTATTCTATTCTATTTCTATTCTATATTTCAATATCTATTCTATTCTATTCTATATTCCAATATGTATTCCATTCCATTCCACTCTACTGTTCTATTCCACTTACCGTCCGAGAGATGGCGTTGTTTGGCGTATCTGGCACAGGAGAAATGAGATTGGCCGTGTTCTTTTTATGAACACTATTCATTCCAGGCATTTTAGTAATTTTACAGGCTTTGCTGCTGGCGCTCGAGTTCTTGCGCTTTTTCCCTTCCGATTTGTCAAAACAAAGGGGTAGCGAAGAGACGGCGTTGTGCGGGGCGAAGGAATGGTCCGCCAAAGGGTGCACCAGGGAAGGGACCGACAAACCGGAAGGGTCAATACTGCTCACGACGATGCTCATGTGTTTCACCGAGTCCGCCGCGCTACTCGAGAGCGGAGTCCGTCCTGAGGGCTCGGATTTGGCACTGAAGGGGCTTGTTCCGTTGTTTGCGTTGTGCACGGAGAGGCTGTTGTAGGAAGAGGCGGCCTGGTAAGAATTGAGGGTGGGACTGGGGTTCAAGACACAGTTCTTCCTGTGCGCCCCTGAAAACGAAGACGAGGAAGAAGTCTGGAAAGGTAACGAGGAAGAGGAGGAGGAGGAAGATGGCAGCTTTTTCTTTCTGTTACTAGAAGACTCGTCGCCGCTGCGGCACAAGATGTCTCTGACTTTGGAGGACTTGCTGGTTTTCGTTCTGGATGGCTTGTGAGACGGGGAAGGGATGACAGCCGGCAGAGGCGACAGGGCAGACGGCATCTTGAAGGTGGAGTCTACAATGCTCAAACTGGCGGCCACGTGCGGGAAGGCGGTGGCGTGGGACGTGATGGAACTGGTGTCCGACGTCGTCCCGAAAGGGGTGCTGGAGAGCATGGCGGACGTCATGACGTAAGAAGGAGGGGTTCTGGAGCTGACGGGCGCGGAGGGAATGTACGCCGAGGTGGGATTACTGAAAGGTTGAAGAACGGAGGCCGGGAAGGGGCTGCTGAGATGTGCTGCTGGGGACGGCATGGGACTATCCACGGCGGGAGGGATTTTCCTAAAGTATGGAAAGAGGGAAACACACGTTTGGGATAGAGACACTTTCCTTCAGTCCTACCCAGCATCCTTAGCTAACGAAGCAGAAAGAGCTTTCCTACAAGGATTAAGAAATAGGGATAGAGATAGATAAGACAGACAGATGTGGATGGATAGGGATAGACAGACAGACAGGTAGACAGGTAGGTAGGTAGACAGACAGGCAGGCAGGCAGGTAGATAGATATGGATGTGGATGGATAGGGATAATAGATAGATAGATAGATAGGTAGGTAGGTAGGTAGGTAGGTAGGTAGGTAGGCAGGCAGGCAGGCAGGCAGGCAGACAAACAGACAGATGTGGATGGATAGGGATAATAGACAGACAGACAGAGGTAGGTAGGTAGGTAGGTAGGTAGGTAGGTAGGTAGGCAGGCAGGCAGGCAGGCAGATAGATACATAGATATGGATGTGGATGGATAGGGATAATAGACAGACAGACAGAGACAGAAGTAGGTAGGTAGGTAGGCAGGCAGGCAGGCAGATACATAGATATGGATGTGGATGGATAGGGATAATAGACAGACAGACAGACAGAGATAGGTAGGTGGATGGATGGATGGATGGACAGAGATACAGATAGACAGACAGACAGACAAGCAAGCAAGCTTTCCTCAAAATGTAGCTAATATTTTATTACTTTTATGATTACTAAAATTATTCCCATTCACCAATGTTACTATTCTCCTTGCTTTGGCATTAGAATTACACATTATTTATTTACGCACACTATTTTTTCCCCCACAGAATACTATTGTTTAAGTTAGCATTTTCTCTGCCACTCAGTCATTTAAATTGCGAGTTGGACAGCAAATAAATTTGATAAATAAATAACGATAAGCCTTAAAACAAAAAAACAAAAAAAACCCATCTAGACAACACAGATATACTTACTTCCACATTTGTGAGTTTAAGTGTTTTTCTACCATAGAATTTAGCGCTAGCCGAAAATGATCCCATCTCCTGTCAAATACGTAGTATCCTCTTCCCATCAAGTGACTTCCAAATGAACAGAACTAGGAAAGGGGGGGGGGGGAATAAAGAGAGCACACTCTTTTAATCACCACATTAATCCATCTTTGCATTCTAAGTGTTGGTTAAACTGTGGCCTTGCTAGTAACATTATTGTAGGAAAGAATGGCATGGTTCCCCCTCTTTAACAGGATTTGGAAAGTGTGGGAGAAGGAGCGGCAGAACGTGGGGGCAGAGTGAAAAGAGGCATCAGCCTAGAATCCCTGCGTAGCCACAAGCAAACTACAGTAGTGGCCAAAATTGTGGAAACCTTTTGGGAAAAGTGTACCGTAGAAATGCCACCTTTGGTTAAATTTCCACCCATTTTTCTTCTAATTTCTTTATAACTGTAGCCTTGTTCACTTAATGATATTATTTTACATCGCTTTCTGGGTGACCAGTCAAGTCTTTGCACCATGACTTTAATTTTATTACGTTTTACAAGCTCACTAAATGAAAGAACACAAAAAAAAACCCAACCAACTTGATAGCGATCCCATAACACACTGACAAATGTCCTCCTCTCGGCTTCAATACAGGACATCAATAACCGAATCCTACTGTGATCTGATTGGCTCATGGCCAAAACAAGATGACACCTGATTGGCTCTCTAAACACTCACGCTCATTGGCTACAATCAGATGAAGGAAAGCTACGTGAGATCAACCTGAGCAAGTTGTGCTTCCTTTTTCTGGTTATTTTGCTATAACTTTTCATAGAATACAGTACAGATAATTGAACAAATGTGGTTGCATTACATTCTTGATTAAATTATCTTTCCATTGATATATCATTTTATGGTACTACTCCCCCCAAAAAGTGGTGTTATTAGCCATCCAACCTCACAAATGCACTTTTCCCAAAAGGTTTCCACAATTTTGGCCACTACTGTAAGTTCAACCTCCCTTGAATGCCGTTGATCCTTATCTAACCCCAAGCAAGTGCGGTTAGTTAAGACGATTCTTGTGCATAAGCTTTTAGCGGTAAATCAGTTTAGTTGGACCGTCCTATGTAGACTTGGTCTTTCACGCCTGATAGACCTTCTCGCTCACATTTTTTCTGTCCAAATTGAAAAACCTGCTCCTTTGCGCCAACGCAATTTATAAACATTCGGCCAGTCAGAAATGCCGCCAATAAATAAAGATTACAAGGGGGGAAAAGAGAGAGAAAGGTACCCCAAGCGGCCGAGGATGGTGCTCCGAATAGGAGCAGTCTAATTTTTCTGCTTCTTCAGATCCTTCTAGCTCTCCTTCGTCGCTGGATAATCTGCAGAGCAATTCTCCTCCCATCGCCGGAAGGGGCAATTCCGGTACGTTCCCGCTAGTGTGGTTTGAAGAGGTGCCGCTGTTTATGCTATTTGAAGAGGAGGATCTAGGAGAGGTTAAAACATCATGTCCATGAGCTGGGCGGCTAGATAAATTCGATAAAAAAATTTAAAAAATAAATAGATAAGTCACAGGACCACAATCAGCTCAGCGCTGAAAGTTCTACAGGTTATTCCCAGAAAGAAAGAAAAACTCCACTAAGAGTGTTAGCTTAAGAAGTAGCAGTCAGTTCCTTGGGAGACTGACCTCTGGAAAAATATCCCAAGAATTTAATTGTACGTACGGGGGTTGAAGTCAGAAAAACTTGAGTAAAAAGATTTCCTATAAAAGCTGAAACAAGTAGTGAAATTTAGCTGTGTTCTATGGTTCCGTTATCCATTTAAGTCCAATTTTAGTTGATTTACTATGGAACTCTAGTTTAAACGTTTGGGAGCTCTGAACATTAGATTTTCTGATGAATGGGGATAAAGGGAAATGTGGCTATTTAAAACTTGGAACTTATAAATATTAAACGTCAAATTTAAATATTAATGGAGAACTAAAAATTGGGAAAAACTAATTCGGACATTGATAAGTCTATAAAGATTGAACGTTAAAATAACCAGGATATGTATAAATTAAAAAATATTGATAAACGTAAAAAAGTTATTTTTATTTAATTGATATAATAAGAATTGTATTGGTTTAAACATAAGACAGTAAACACTAAGGGGAAAAGAGAGGAGATATTTAATGTAGTCGTCTGAAACTTGAACTAAAGAATATTTGCATGTGATTGAATTATCGATTAACTCAGCCGCCACGTTGCTTTTTAAATATTTAAATGTAAAACTAGAAAATCAATAAAAAAAATTTTAAACGTTGGGAACTCAACTGTTGAATTCTGGTTTCAGATACACGTAATCCTTGACTTACGACCACGAGCGAGCCCAACATTTCTGTTGCTACTTGAGAGCTGTTAAATGAACCTAGCCCCGTTTTACGACGCTGCAGTTGTTAAGTTACTAATAGGTTGTTAAGAGAATCCGGCTTCCCCATTGACTTGGCTCGCCAGAAAGTCGCAAAAGGGGATCGCGTGACCCAAGGGCACTGCGACCGTCGTAAATACGAGTCGCTGAATCGTATTCGCCAATCGTCTGAGTTTTAATCACGCGATCATGGGGAGGCTACAAAGGCTGTAACTGTGAAAAGTAATCGCGAGTCCCTTTTTTCGGTGCCGTTGTAACTTTGAACGGCCACTAAACAAGCCGTTGTAAGTCAAGGACTACCTGTACAAAGGACTTATGGCTTAAAGCCAGGTATTGCTCACCTGGGAAATACTGAGTTAGGCTGTCTAGATTTGGCAGGTGATGGTCCTTTAAGTTCTTGCCCAGAGTTCACGGAGGCTCCTGTGAGAGCATCGGGTCCTGATAGGGGTTGGCTTTGATGCGTTTCCCTTACGGGTTGCGGGTGTTCCTTCTCTTTTGTCACTTCTTTGTCCCGGGACCGTGCTTTGTGTTCAGCTAGAAGGATGTCGAACTGCTTTTTGCGCCCTAAAACTGCTCGCCGATAGTTGAGAGAATGCGTCTAAAATAAATAAATAAATAAATAAAATAAATAAATAAATAAATAAATAAATAAATAAATAAATAAATAAATAATAAAGGGGTTAAAATAATTAGGGTGAGGAATTCAAAGTTCTCGTTATTCGAAGCTTCTCTTTGAAATTCGGAGAGGTTCGATTCTTAGAGAAATTCAAAGTTTCTCTTTCTCTCATTCACTCTTCACATTAAGTAGGTCAGGATAATAATTTAATGGCTAAACAGCTTATGTAATGATGTAATGTAAGGTAAGGTGGATGATGCAATAATAGGAATGACTCAACGGCTGTGTGTATCCCTTTAAGAGTCTGAGTATAAAAGGGAAGGCTTTTTGCTGGAGTCTTTCTCATCTGTTCGACTGCTGTAACTGCTGTGTATTGGAGTTTGCTGTTTCACCACGTGTATGTATCTTGTTTCTAGTGTATATTGTAGATAGTGTAATATAAACCACCATTTAATATAAACCACTGTGTATTGTATTTGCTCCTGGGTTACCTCAGCGCAATAATTCCCTTCCCTCATTCTCCTTCCTGGTGGTGCAATGGTTAGAATGCAATCTCTGCCCACCACTTGGAGTTCGATCCTGACTGGCTCAAGGCTGACTCAGCCTTCCATCCTTCCGAGGTTGGTCAAATGAGGACCCAGATTGCTGGGGGGGGGGGCAAGATGCTAACATTGTAAACTGATCAGAAAGTGCTGTAAAGCACTATGAAGCAGTATATAAGCCTAAGTGCTATTGCAATGTTATTTCTTATGGGAAAAAACTGTTTGGTATTCATCAAATCTCCCAGAACAATTAACGATGAGTTCCGAAGTAGCCCTGTACTAGAATTCTGGGATTTGAATTTGAATTTTTAACTTTGCCCCAGTGACCTAAAGATATTCCAACAGAATAATAACTATAGCCTTCAGCAAAAACATCACAGGAATTATATTATATTTGAACCAGGAAGAAAGTTTACCTTGCAGGTGAGTGACCTCGTGCACGGTTTCTTTGTTTCGGGGTCCAAGACTCCACAGTGCTTATTTGGGTCAAACTCTCTTTCTGTTTAAAATACACAAATAGGTTCTTTAAAGGAAAAGCGACAACATACGGCGCATCAAAAGAGATGTGGGGAAATAGTGTATTTTCTCTAGCTAGGCTGGTTTCCTTCTACCCCATTTCCACTGAGACACCATGCAACAGATCTACACACAATCCAGGGCTCTCTAAGAAATCATTAGATAATCTGATCGTTAAGGATAAATGAATGTCAGCGTTCCGAAGAAACAAGTCTTGAAAGGATACCAAAAGGAGAGGCTCAAATAGATCTGCCTCCTGAACGGTCTGTGTGTAATATATAAGATCTCTATGGGGCCACACTTAATTGAGGTCACCTGATTATAAAAATTAGGCCATCAAGAAATTGTGAGGATCAGTGTTGTGATTCCTCGCCAGCCAGGGGACCCGGCAGCTGAGTCTGAGGAATCAAAGGAGGAGGAGGAGGGACCTGGAGTGTCCTCAGAGTTAGAGGAAGGCTCTGAGAAGTTCCAAGACTTACAGTCGGACGAGGAGCCTGGCCCCTCTACTCACGCTCAGGCTGAGACACAGCTGTGCTGGGAGCCTGAGTTGGACAGTGATGAAGAACAGCTGGGACAAATCCCGGATGCACGATTGCGCAGGCAAGAGAAATGAGTAGGGCAGAGGAATGCAATGGGGCAGCTCCAAAGGCAAAGGAGAAGGCATTAGGAAGCCACGCCTTGGCTGCATTATAAAAGGGACGGTATGGGAGGTGCTGGTTGCCGAAGGCAGCCGTTCGTGTTGAGGATCAAGTTTCCGTGAACTGTGTTTGTTTGCCTTGGACATTGACTCAGGTCTGTGAATAATAAAAGGGGATTGGTTTTTTCCTGTGGTTCGTGCCTGTTTCTTGGAAGAGGGGTTTCTCCTTGTGAGCATAACAAGGAATCACGTAGGCTGGGACAGAACAATCAGTTGCGATGGGCAGAGGAGGAGAGCAAGCTATGTCCCTATTGCTTAAAGAAAACATAGAGGCCTGTGTAGGTGTGTAACTACAGGTAACCCTCAATTTACAATTTACAATTTAGTGACCATTCAAAGTTACAACGGCACTGGAAAAAAAGTGAGTTACGGATTTTAGTTTTCTCTCCCTTCACTTTTAAACATGCAATCATAATTTTAAGGGTTAGTAACTCCTAGAGTGCATGACGGCCAGCTAAAATGCAACAAGCAAAGGGATGTCAGTATAACGGCAGACGCTAGACGAAACAAACCTTGGTTACAGTACAGGCAAGCACGAAGGTTCACATGAAAGGCAACGTTGACTGATGAAACATATAATGCGACACCTACCTTATCCAGATGTGGCCTTTCTCACTGCAGAAGAACTGACTGCTCTTATAGCCAAGGAGAGCCAGTGAGCAAGATTACCTACGTCTAATGGAAGCAGGGGGTTGGACTAGATGACCTCCAAGGTCCCTTCCAACTTTATTATTATTATTAAAATCCATTATTTATTGTCCAGATAAACTGGAGAGCAGTCAGAGGTTCCGCTGTTGCCATCGACAAAAGGAACCACCTTCTTGATTTTAGAGGATTTATACAGGTAGTCCTCAACTTACGACATTTCATTTAGTGACCGTTTGAAGTTAAAAAAAAAACAGCACTGAAAAAAGGGACGGGCGGCCGTTTTTCGCACTGACGACCGTGTGTCAAAATCTGGACCCTTGGCAACTGACTCGTATTTATGACTGTTGCAAGGTCCTCTTTCCCAAAGTCAATGGGAAAGCCAGGCTCGTTTAACAACCACGTCTCTAATTTCGTAACTGCAGTGATTCACTTAAAAAGTGTGGCAGGAAAGGTCGTAAAACGGAGCAAAATTCACTTAGCAAGTGTCTCACTTAGCAACAAAAACTTCAGGCTCCATTGTGGCTGTACACCAAGGACTACCTGTATCTCGTCTTCGCCAAAAAACAGTAGTGGCCAAAATTGTGGAAACTTTTTGGGAGAAGTGTATTTTTGAGGATGGATGGCTAATAACACCACTTTTTTGGGGGAGTACTACCATAAAATTATATATCAATGGAAAGATAATTTAATCAAGGATGTAATGCAACAAAGTCTGTTCAATTATCTGTACTGTATTCTGTGAAACGTTATAGCCAAATAACCAGAAAAAGGAAGCACAACTTGCTTAGGTAGATCTCAGGTAGCTTTCCTTCCTCTGATTGTAGCCAATGAGCATGAGTGTTTAGAGAGCCAATCAGGTGTCTTCTTGTTGTGGCGATGAGCCAATCAGATCACGGTAGGATTCAGTGATTGATGTCATGTATTGAAGCCGAGAGGAGGACATTTGTCGCGGTGTTATGTGATCGCTATCACATTGGTTGGGTTTTTTTGTGTTCTTTCATTTAGTGAGCTTGTAAAACCTAATAAAATTAAAGTCATGGTGCAAAGAGTTGACTGGTCACCCAGAAAGCGATGTAAAATAGTATTATTAAGTGAACAAGGCTACAGTTATAAAGAAACTAGAAGAAAAACGGGTGGAAACTTAACCAAAGGTGGCATTTCTACGGTACACTTTTCCCAAAAGGTTTCCACAATTTTGGCCACTACTGTATGTTGCCCACAAAATGGGAAGTCCAAGCCGAGCTGACCTCTCATTTTATTGATATTTTAAGGAGAAGCTGGACAAGAGCAGGTGGGGAGAGCAATCGGTTCCTTACAACAGCGAGGGCACATCCCTTGCCACTCCACAGCCGGCGGTCCTTAACGAAGAACGAGGGCGTCTCATTCAGTCATGCGACAGCGCTACTACTTACCCGAGACTCTCTTGTAAGACTTGCTACTGTTCTTAGTGCCATTTTGGTGCTTCTTGTCTAGGGATGGGACTATAACTCCTTTGCCGTTCAAAATCTTTTCGGGCGACGGCGGCACCGATTTGGATGTCAAAGCAGACTTAACTGGAGCAGGTGTGGTGGAGGAAGAGGCGGAGGAGGTGGTGGTGATGGCGGTAGTGGCCGTAGAGTTCATTTTAACATTGGCACCATCTGCCTTCACTAGATGAGGAATTTTCTCTAGACTGACTACCGGAACAGGAACACTGAAACACCAAAGGGGGGAAAAAAACAAGTCTTCAAGATGTATTTTCTGCACCGTCCTTGTGGTCAACTCATACCAGTTACCTTGCCTTCCTTCTACATGGAATGTCCTATTACACGTGACACTAACGCAGGAAGGTGACAAAAAGAGTTAAAATCTCAAAATTGGTTGACTGTGCAGTGTTCTTCTCTACCTTGTTTTTTTTTATAAAAAAGATAAACAATCTTTGATTTCATAAGACAGTTTGCAACATTAATCGCCTTTGTTTAAAGCAGCACTGAATGACAATCTAATTAAGAATATTTAGTAGCCAAGGACTAAAAACAGAGAAAGCTATGATAGCTCTCCGATAAGTTTTTCTAATGCAAGGCAGGCCCTTTTGTGCACTTCTGATATTTTTTAGGTGTGGTTATTTGTGTGTGTACACGTGTAAATATCCATTTCACACGAAGGCAGCAACTTTGCAGGCAGACGCCTCCCACCATTCCAGGACAATTCAGGAGTATAACGACGCGATATAATCAGATACAGAGTTAGTTCAGTGAAACATTTCTAGATATTAAAATGGCAGACAGATTGGAAAAAGGGGTGGAAAATGACAAGTGAAAA